TTCCCCCTTTTTTTTTTTTTTTTGGTGACTTTTGGAACCAGAATTGAAGCTGAATTGAAGGTTAAGTCTAAAAGCTCATCTAATCTTCATTTATCTGTTTATCTGGGTTTAAGGTTTAATTCCAGAGCTTATCGAAATGCGGTTTAATCTTCATATAGCATTAAAACGAAGTTTTGGGTCTGTGCTCGTGGATGCCCCGCAGATTTTTTTTTCAGTTATTTTACTGACCAACTGGCCTCCAGTTGTATTTGATTTCACTAATAACTTCTATTTAATCACTAATAACTTCTAGTGCTCATAAAAGACATTCTGTTCATTGCATTAGAGATGGTTTGTGTAGTCTAACGTTTGATTGTTGGCATAAATTTGGGTTTTGTGCACAAGAGGTGAATTATTTAACAGTATCTTTTTATCTCTAGAATTTTTTATTAGACTTTAGATCATTTAGAAGGTGCCATTGTTTATATGAAAGAAAAATGGAGAGATTTGATCAGTTATTTTCAGTAGTGCATCTGAGCAGATCAGCTCTTCCCGCATGTTTCATGAGTCTCATTATGCCGTATGAAGCTGTGATATTTTGTCTAGAATTTCAGATTCTACTGTTTAGCATCACCTAGAAAAAAACACAAAAGTACATCATGTCTTGACTAAGCGTGACATGTAATGTTTCTAGCATTAAATAATTTTTCTGTCCTCACAGAAAAAAAAAGATTTTTTTTATATATATATAAAATACAATAATATTATATATACATATATATATATATATATATATATATATATATATATATATATATATATATATATATATATATATATATATATATATATATATATATATATATATATATATATATATATATATATATATATATATATATATATATATATGTGTGTGTGTGTGTGTATATATAATATATAATATAAAAAAATAATAATATATAAAGTCAAGACTTCAGAGTCTTTTATTATTACAAGTGTTGTTATTGTTGACTAAAACTATTAAAAATTGTTTTTGTTAATTGAAATAAATCTATTAATAAAATAAAGTAAAAATATTAGATGACACTTTAACAAATTTTATTTCAGTTAGTTGCCATTTAGTTGTATTTCTCATTTAAATTTAACTATTTAATTTGAAAATAATATAATTATTAATGATAATTATATAAGTATAACTATAAATGGTTACAATTATTTAAAAAAAACTAATTAAAATGACAAAAGCACATAAAATAACAAACTGAAATGAATGAAAACTGAAAATATACAAATAAAAGCTAACTCAAAATATTAATAAATTACTTTTTAATAGTATATAAATAATACTAACAGAACACTAGTTATTACAGACCTGAGATTGGCGAGCTGTTTTTGGAGTTCTTTTCCCTGGTGATGAGTTTTAGGGACTAGTTTGTCATGGTAATGGAATCTGGGAATTGTCCCGGAATGTTCTGTGCTCTTGACCCCTGACCTTAGAGGTCAGAGCAGAAGCAATATGATGTTTATGTGTGTGTGTGTGTGTGTGTGTGTGTGTGTGTAAGATTGTGAGGCACCATATGTAAGTTTTTTTTCTCTTTCTATCTCTTTTCCTCACTCCCTCCTCTGAGTCTCTGTGGAATGCTTACATTCCGGAATGTCACAGACGGAATAGAATGGGGGATGCTCATCCCGATCTCTCAGGGAAACGTGTTGGACCATGTTTGGTGTGTGTGTGTGTGTGTGTGTGTGTGTAATGGGATGATTTGGAATGCTGTTGGTGATCCGGGCGAGTCCCTGCAGGTGCTGTAATCCCTCTAAGCAACATCCGGAAGTTCAGCCAGGATTTGACTTGTCCAGCATTGTGTTGTGTTGTCTGATGGAGGTTTTCTCTTTATAGTTACAAATGTTAACTCACTGTCCTGGCATTTTACACAAAATGGAAGATATTTCCCTCTCCATTCTCCAATCTTTTTCCTTCTTTTCATATTTTTTTCCAAACGCTTCCTCTGATTCCATCTTTCCTCTCCCATTTCTGCTCTTTTCTTCGGTCTCAACCGATCGCAGAGTTCCGACCTGGTTGGTTTGACCAATGCTGGCAGAGCTCTAGATGGTGGGGGTGTCTCTAACGGGTCCTTGACCAGCTCTCTGGTCTCTCTGGCCGTCTGTCCTCCTTCTGAATCTTCTCTTTCTGACTCGCTTCTTACATCTGCGGTAAACACACTCTCAATAACTCACACACACGTTCAGTAATGATCTTACCCATGGACTTGTATGGAATTTCAAATTAAGCAAATCATAATCACTATACAATAATCTTGTATTTTGCATTTCTAGAATTAAAAATAAAGCATTAATGACTAAAGACGTCCCCAAATGGAGTTGCAGTTGTCTGAAAAGCATAGCTACCTTAGAACCACATGCAAAATTACCTTTAACTTTATCTCTGATTTTCCTGAAAATACACTGTGGACTGTCAGATTATGGGCTTGTTCTTGTGAATGTGAATTTACATTGTGCAAAATAATGTAAATGAGCGCCATCTAGTGCTCAGTTTCTGTTTCATATCATTTCTGTTTTCAGAGTAAAGTCTGAGTCTTCTGAGAGGAAAAGTGTGCTGTTACTTTTTTTTTTTTTTAACTAGACCATTTTCATGTGTGGGACAATAAAAGATTGTCCTGGACTGTGTTACTTACTATTGTAGTTTTTGTTAATATTTTGAATTCGATTTTATTTTGACATTTTCGTGCATGTGATATTAACAGACGAACTACGCTCATATTTATAATTCCAAACAATCAGTAAGCGACAGGTGCTTGGAAACGCTGTTTTGTACTCATTTATTGACGAGTCGGCTGCGGTGCTGCCAAATGAATGCGTTGCTTCTCTGCCGCTCACTGCACAGAACAGACGCCGAGAGAGCTGACACTTCTCCGGGAAAGTCAGACCTCGCGCTTGCGGGACAGCACTGGAGAAATCTTCCAAATGAACCATAGCTAAGGTTTATCCCAAAAAGTCTCTAGGTTTGTCAGTATGAATATTTTCTGGAAGAAAGCCGCTAAAAGGATCTGAAAGTTGCTAAATCTAGTGCTAAAGTCGCGCTCGTGTGTGTGAGACGCGGGAGCTGATGGCAGGGGGCGGTGGATATTTGTGGCGGTCAGTGTGGATATTGTGGATGAGTTCTTCTGTGTCATCATGTTCTATTAGTTCTACAGCTTCAGTTTCTGAACTTTCACGCTTAGTAACACATACAGCTGTTCCCTCACCACAGTGCAGCAGTGAAAAGGGACCCCTTTCAAACGGTGTCGCGTTCCGAACGTTGTTTAAGCGACATACACTGGTATTGCAGTATTTCAAAAATTCATATCGTAACAAAAATAAACACCGGTATTCGGTATGAACCGGTATACCGCCCAGCACTAGAATGCAGCACAGAATTCACGTTCTTACTGTCTGTCACCAAAAGCTTTCACAACGTGTGTTTGATGGTGAATATTGAATGCCCATCTGACCGATCTGTGGCGGTTGTCCCTGTTGTTTTTGCTCTAGAGTGAAAGTGTTGATGAAGGCGGTGAGGGAGAGTATGTGAACCTGTACTCCTCCACACAGGCTAATGGAGAAAACACACACCGCACTGTAAGTGTCACGTGTGTCATTGTGTTAAGCTGTGTGCGCAGGTGTTTGGAGTGCAATTAAACATTTGTTTGAATTCTTCAGGACCCCTCTTCATGTGACGATGTGCTTCAGGACCACACCCCTCACATACCCACGTCCAATAGCAAGGAAGCTTTGTCTAAGGACAGGTATGAACTCCAGTCTTTCTGCATGTGTGTTTGCTGTATTATCGACAGCTCAGGGATATGAAAATATTTGTGATATGTTTCCTCTCGCTCACAGGCCAAAGGAACCCAGTCATGGTCAGATCGATGATGTTGATGAACTGTCCCTCATTGATCATAATGATATTATGAACCGGATCACACTCAAAGCAGAGGTAATAATGCTGTTTAAAGCTTCATAAAGTGTTAATTTAACCTTTATCAAACAGCTTTAACTAAAAGCCAGGATATCCATTGTTATGGTAAACCTGGGAATATTAGGATTGATTTGATTGATTAATTGCTGTTTAATTCATATTCATTCATGCTTTTGTTTATGCATTTAGTTATTTATGCATTTATTTATTTAAGCATTAATTTATGAATGTATTTATTTATCTATTTATGTATGCATTTATGCATGGATTTATTTGTGCATTTATGCATTTTTATGTTTTATATATTTTTAATGCATTTATTTATACATCCATGCATGCATCTTTAAATATGGAAAAAATTGTATATTTTATACCATGTATATTGTGCATATATTTAAATTAGGGATGCACCGATGTATCGGCTGCCGATATTTATCGGCCGATTTTTCCTCAATTTACAACCATCGGCATATCGGCTATATAAGGAAAAAGGCCGATATAACAAACCGATGGATTATTAATTAACTGCGTGAAGGCACTGAGCGGTATAATGTCTGTTGCATAATCCTAGCGCTGCTGTCTGCACTTTAATGCTAATCGAATAACAAAAGACAAAAGATTGCACACTATTCTTGACTAAATAACTTTTGTAACTTTCATAAGTGTAGCGGACTTCATCTGAATGTTGACCAAAACTTAATTATTGATGTTTTATTGTGCTTATTGCGTCCTTTTTCACTCCAAAAAAATCACCATAAGAGCTAAACAAAAAACAGCACGAGAAGTGCACATTAAACTCTCTCTCAGTTGCATTATCATCAACATCCAGCAAATTACACAAAACACTTATTACAACTAACAGTAAACAAATATATACAGATCTCATGCCTTTTCGGGGGGTGCTTAATAAACTGACAAACTTTAAATCCGAAGAACTCCGTGCTTTCATCACCCATATAGCTGCTCCATAGACTAGAAAACCCGTCAAAATAAGAGTCCCACCTTGGTAATGGAGATCTCAGACATATTTAAACTTACAAAAAATATTAAAATGTATACAAAAACTAAATAGAAGATTAAACATAATAAAGTCTGTTACAATAAAGAAGGATTAATATGTATTTAATGTATACAGTGAAGTGTTATTTTTTGCATTTGTTTACTTTATTTCTGTACCTGAAAACTGTTAAACCTACCTAAAAAGCACTGTTTATTTAATATGTATCTTTGTTCTGTTGTATTTATGTAGGCCTGCTGAATGTTAAATGGATCCAATCCATGTTCATTAGAAATTATTTGATGATGCAGCAATAAAACCGCTAGTATAATTTAATGCAGGTGTTTTTGAACTTTGCTGATTTAAAACATGATCAAAATACTATCTATTTTGATGCCAAAATTTCAAATAAGAGAGGAAGTGACAAATATCGGTATCTGTATCGGAATCGGCCAATAAGTGATTGTTAAAATCGGTATCGGTATCGGCCCCCAAAAATCCTATCGGTGCATCCCTAATTTAAATATGTTCATATTTTTTAAATGTCCTGTTCGGGAAAAGTTGTGAAAATTAATACAATCTTAAAAGTCATAGAAATGTTTGAAAAATATTGTTATGCAAAGATATAAACTATTTCATCAGGTAGAAATTGGTCTTGTGTTAGGGCATTATTTATCAAATTTGAAATCTCCTTATCTAGTAACCACAAACAACTGATAAGTCGTGGAGAATCATTGGTTAAAAAAGGGTGGGAATCTGGAAAAATTGTTTAGCATTGAATAAGTACTTACTTTACAGATGATAAAACTGTAAAGGCACAAATAGTATGAAATTATGGGTAAAGAGTGAGGAATCAGAGAGAAATTAAGCTAACAGAGCTATGTTGGAAATCTGTTGCATGTGTATATTTGATGCATTGTGTTTTTTGACAAGGTCAGAGCTTTTGTCTGTTGCCTCCAGTGTTTAGAGAGTAATTATCTAGTGGTTGATGCAAGTCTAGAACACACACACACAGACGTCAGCTGGTGCAGTGCTGCGATGGGCAGCCGGAGCCAAAGTGAGCCGGACTTCAGATGCCTGCAGTAATAATTCTCTCTCTCTCTGATAGAATGATGATGGTCCTGATGTGAGAGCCGGATCTGGTGATATACTGTTAGTTCACGCTACAGAAACAGACCGCAAAGGTAATTCACATGCTTTCTTCATATGAAGCTCGATCAGTCATAATTATTCTGCATTTGTGTGTTTTCTCTTGTAATTTGCCTTTAGCATGACTGATTTATTCTTGCAGTATTTGTGAAATGGAGGTTTGCTGTATATCTTAAGTGTAAATGAATCATATTTGTCTGTTTGTGTTCTAGATTTGGTGTTGTACTGCGAGGCTTTTCTCACCACCTACAGAACCTTCATAACGCCTGAAGACCTCATTAAAAAACTGCACTACAGATATCCTTTCTTCTGTATGGTTTATTTGATCTGTTAGTAGCAGTCAGTCTGTATACGTGTGTGTGTGTGTGTGTGTGTATGTTTTCTTAACTGCGCTGCACATATACTCGTTTCTGTCACAGTCCAGACACCTTTAGGAAGCGTGTCAGTAAAAACACGTTCTTTGTGCTGGTGAGAGTCGTGGATGAACTCTGGTGAGTGAATACTGGGCTAAAACTACTCATAATGAGCTACAGTCAAACTACTAACAAAGGTAGCTAAGTTGAAGCGATTCAAGGACAATATGTTTTAAGTTTATTTTTGCAGTCAAAGCTGGGGACTGGAATAACAAGATCATATGCACGTACAAGTTTGTGTGTGTTTTATTTATTTTTTTATAAATATTTTTATTCAGCAAGGATGCATTAAATAGCTTGAAAATGACAGTAAAGACATTTATAATGTTACAAAAGATTTCTATTTGAAACAAATGCTGTTCTTTTGAACTTTCTAGTCATCAAAGATTCCTGAAACAAATTGTATCGCAGTTTCCACAAAAATATGAAGCAGCACAACTGTTTTCAACATTGATAATAATCAAAGATTTGATCAAGTGTATATACAGGTGCATCTCAATAAATTAGAATGTCGTGGAAAAGTTCATTTATTTCAGTAATTCAACTCAAATTGTGAAACTCGTGTATTAAATCAATTCAATGCACACAGACTGAAGTAGTTTAAGTCTTTGGTTACCAGTCTTAAGTCTTAACATTAAAAGAACCAAAGACTTAAACTACTTCAGTCTGTGTGCATTGAATTTATTTAATACACGAGTTTCACAATTTGAGTTGAATAACTGAAATAAATGAACTTTTCCATGACATTCTAATTTATTGAGATGCACCTGTAATAAATAATAATAATAAATCATATGTTTTTATATATATCAATAATAAATAAATTTATATATATATATATATATATAAAAGCCTTTTTCATTTTGAATAGCTATATTTTATGTACACCGTTAAATATATTTTTGGTCTCTTCTGCTCATTAAGGCTGCATTTATTTGATCAAAAAATAAAGTAAGAACAGAAATATTGTGAAATATTATTACTATTTAAAAGAACTGTTTTCTATTTAATTTTCTATTTCTATTTGAATACAATATTGTAAACTGTAATTTATTCCTGTGATCAAAGCTGGATTTTCAGCTTCATTACTCCAGTCTTCAGTGTCACATGATCCTTCAGAAATCATTCTAATATGCTGATTTGCTGCTCAAGAAACATTTCTGATTATTATCAATGTTGAAAACAGTTGTGCTGCTGAATATTTTTGTAGAACCTGATACATTTTTTTTCAGGATTCTTGGATAAATAGAAAGTTCAAAAGAACAGCATTTATTTGAAATATAAATCTTTTGTAACATTATAAATGCCTTAACTGTCACTTTTGATCAACTGAATGTGACCTTCCTGAGTAAAAGTATTAATTTCTTTCAAAAGCAAACGTTTGAACCAGTGTTAATTTCGTTGACGAATCATTTTCATCATAATGTTCGTCAACTACATTTTTTTCACTGACAACAACGAGACGATAACGAACTAAAACTCTTTTTGAATGACAAAAACTATGACGAAAATATATTGACATTTTCGTCAATTAATAAAAACGAGACGAAAATGTTAGGGCTGGACGAATTGTGAAGAGATTCATTCTATTTCAGAACGAATCTGCTGCATTTTAGGAGGTTAGATGCATACATGAACCGGCGGGACATAAGCTAAAATACACTTGCTGCAAGTCTCATAAAATGTTAAAAAATGTCAATATGTGGGAGTAAGAGAAGAGCAGACATATAGATAAATCTGATGACGCAAGAGAGAACTAACTTTGTTCCGGTTTTCTGAGCGCAGACACTGAAGCACACACACACAGAAAGCGCCTCTCAGCACGCGAGTACTCTTTCGTATTGCATGAACGGAGAATTGCACACAAAATGATGTTGAATTGTCCGTTTTGATGAGTATTCACGTAAACACAGTTGATTACGTCTTAAGTGAACGTAAACAGCAGGGAGAACGTGTATCAGTACATTGCATCCATTGCAGCTGTGCCTTCGGTTTTAAAGGGACAGCAGCCTAATTTGGTTGCTATTGTCCGAGTCATTAAAGTTAATCAAGCAACAAAAGAAAGACAGAAAATCACACACTGCTCTTGACTGAAAAACTTTAGTAGCCTTAAAGATTAATCTAAATGTATTTATAGAAATAAATGTCTGCTTGAAAGAATGAAGAATATGGTAAACAAGTTGCTATAAAGAATGCATAATTAGCCTATATAACATTGGTATTTCATTAATAAATAAATTAATAATTTTAACATAAAGGCATGTTATGTGTCACAGCAGTTAAATCGGTGTCTATCATGATAAAACCTTAATATCAAACCTATATAATGAGTTTGGAAATTTTGGAGAAAAGCTTAATAAATGCATTACACTGTAACTAAACCCATTCGATTTTAGCCGACTAAATTTACTGTACATTTAAAAACTAAAAACAATTCAGATGACTAAAATATGACTAAAACTAAATGGCATTTTAGTCAAAAGACTATGACTAAAACTAAATCAAAATTTGCTGTCAAAATGAACACTGGTTTGAACAGTAGTGTACGTGTGATTGATTGCCCTCTTGGTGTTGTCTGTGTGTCAGTCTGGTGGAGTTGACCGAGGACATCCTGCGGCAGTTGATGGATCTGGTCTTCCGGCTGGTCTGTAATGGAGAGCTGAGTCTGGCGAGGGTCCTGCGAAAGAACATCCTCGATAAAGTGGAACAGAAGAGGCTCCTGCGACACATGCACATGCTGAAACCTCTCGCCGCACGGGGCGTCTCTGCCAGGTAAAGGTCCAGTTTCAGGGGTCATCGGGACGGTTCTCATCTGTGCGGGGTTGTGTGTTTAATTGACTCTTTCTCCAAAGGCCCGGCACGCTGCATGATTTCCGCAGTCATGAGATCGCCGATCAGCTGACGTTGCTGGACGCAGAACTGTTTTACAAGATTGAGGTAACACACATGCTGTTTTACTTGATATAGTAATGGGAAAAAAAGAGTTTTAAGATTTGTGAGTGTAAAAATGTACAAAAGTAATACCTGCTGTTCTCGCTGGCATCTCTTTCTTCAGATTCCTGAGGTGCTGCTTTGGGCGAAGGAACAGAATGAAGAGAAAAGTCAAAATCTGACCCAGTTTACAGAGCACTTTAACAACATGAGCTACTGGTACATATTTACAGATACCTGCTACACCTTCAAAATGACATATGCTTTCTATATATGCATACTGCACACAAACATTTCTCAAAAAAGCATGCTTGTGTGTGATTGGCTGGCTTTACACTCAATTTGCCAGCAAATAAAGTTGTGTACAAGTACAAGGATTACTTATGAGGAAGAGCTAGGGTCTGGAATTGTGCAAATTAATTTTGAAGTTACCTTTTTACTTGTAATTTCCCTTAAACACAATGTAGACATTATGAAATCCATTGTACAGTATTTTTTCCCAAATTCCATTTTTCCTGCTTTAATTTTCTGGATTCCTTTTTAATGGTTAAATGTTAATAATCAAAAAGCATTTTTAAGTGATTGAAATCATGACATGCTTTATTAAAACTTTTATTTTTTTCCCAAATTCTGTTTTCCATTTAATTATTATATATATATTTTTAATTTATAATGGGTTAATGGTTTAATTAAATGTTAATAATCAAAAAGCATGTCTAATTAGTTTAATTCATAAAATAATGTAATAATTTATAAAAGAAAAAAGAAAGAAACAATAATATGTACCCTTTGAAGTTTTATTTTTTTCAGAAATTCTATGTTGTCTTTTGTAATGTTTCTGGATTTAATAATTAAAGTGCCTCTATTATGCCATCTTTAAGGTTCCTAATATTGTTTTGGAGTCTCCTACAATAGGCCTACATGCATGCAAGTTCAAAAAACGCTTTCATTTTCTCAAAATATGCATTTGATATCACCTCATTTCCCAACGATTTGTTCGGAGCGGTTCTAAGATTCAGTCTCTCTGAACCCCGCCTTTCCGTGAGCCTACTCTGCTCTGATTGGTCAGATGTCCCAATCAGATAACAATAACTTTATTTATCGTTTACAACTTTGCAGATCGTTTACATTCACAGACAGCTACATTACACACTGAATGAAGGGCAATATTGGAAATAGCATAATAGGGGCACTTTAATACAAATTTATTATCAAAAATAGTGGTATTCAAATTAAGGCATAAAATATCAACAAATTAATTAATCTTTTAAAATGTCATAAAATGAAAATGAAACAATTTCTTTCATTTTTGGCAAACAAAGTGATGCAAAACAGAGGTTTGTTGTTAAAATTAAAACATGGAAGAAAAATATTCCTTAAAAATATTGATTACTATGAAAAGTATTTTGTAATGTGCAATAGTGATAAATGTCACAATTTCAAGTTAAATGTAACTTTTATTTTGACAGGCTGCCATGAAGACCTTAAAAGTTTGTGTGTGTATATGATATGACGATAGCTTTTATCAAGCTATAACCTTATATTCCAGCCTCATGCCCTACATATTCCCCCATTAGTGCTGTAAAAAAAAAAAAGTCCACATTCGAATGCAAAAACATTGCATTCGAATTTTAGGTCTGCGTCAGCCGTCAGGCAGCCTTATCAGTGGCGCACGAAAGGCGACGACGATATAAGTGTCATTGCATTTGAATGCTTTTGTTAGCCTATCCAGTTGAACCCACTAGATACGGCGCTGCTGCGTTGTTCATTCGATATATTGCGGAAAACGAGAGCATCAGTGTGGAGAAGATGTTGTTTACGTCAAAACTGAAACCAAGCCGTTCACACAGAACACATATTTATCACATTTTCTAGAGGGACATCTATCAGCGTTGCACTCGCGTCTCGCACAAGAGAGCGGCATGTTTAGAAAGCCATGTAAAATGAATGCAAGTTCAACTTTTATAAAAAATGTATGGTGTTTTTCCCCCACCCCACTGTATCTCATGTTTTTAAATGAAGAAAGTAGCCGACTCTTTGTGATTGGTTTTCGGTCCTTTGTATTAAACTATACATACATGCATGGTGCTGGTTTTTTTCCTAATTGTTTAAGCAACTTTTTAAATTATATATGGCTTATAAACATTATTTTGAACATTATGCACTTTTTTTTCAAAGATAGTCGTGTTATTTTATTACGCTCAAAATATGCATTTGATATCACCTCATTTCCCAACGATTTGTTCGGAGCGGTTCTAAGATTCAGTCTCTCTGAACCCCGCCTTTCCGTGAGCCTACTCTGCTCTGATTGGTCAGATGTCCCAATCAGATAACAATAACTTTATTTATCGTTTACAACTTTGCAGATCGTTTACATTCACAGACAGCTACATTACACACTGAATGAAGGGCAATATTGGAAATAGCATAATAGGGGCACTTTAATACAAATTTATTATCAAAAATAGTGGTATTCAAATTAAGGCATAAAATATCAACAAATTAATTAATCTTTTAAAATGTCATAAAATGAAAATGAAACAATTTCTTTCATTTTTGGCAAACAAAGTGATGCAAAACAGAGGTTTGTTGTTAAAATTAAAACATGGAAGAAAAATATTCCTTAAAAATATTGATTACTATGAAAAGTATTTTGTAATGTGCAATAGTGATAAATGTCACAATTTCAAGTTAAATGTAACTTTTATTTTGACAGGCTGCCATGAAGACCTTAAAAGTTTGTGTGTGTATATGATATGACGATAGCTTTTATCAAGCTATAACCTTATATTCCAGCCTCATGCCCTACATATTCCCCCATTAGTGCTGTAAAAAAAAAAAAGTCCACATTCGAATGCAAAAACATTGCATTCGAATTTTAGGTCTGCGTCAGCCGTCAGGCAGCCTTATCAGTGGCGCACGAAATGCGACGACGATATAAGTGTCATTGCATTTGAATGCTTTTGTTAGCCTATCCAGTTGAACCCACTAGATACGGCGCTGCTGCGTTGTTCATTCGATATATTGCGGAAAACGAGAGCATCAGTGTGGAGAAGATGTTGTTTACGTCAAAACTGAAACCAAGCCGTTCACACAGAACACATATTTATCACATTTTCTAGAGGGACATCTATCAGCGTTGCACTCGCGTCTCGCACAAGAGAGCGGCATGTTTAGAAAGCCATGTAAAATGAATGCAAGTTCAACTTTTATAAAAAATGTATGGTGTTTTTCCCCCACCCCACTGTATCTCATGTTTTTAAATGAAGAAAGTAGCCGACTCTTTGTGATTGGTTTTCGGTCCTTTGTATTAAACTATACATACATGCATGGTGCTGGTTTTTTTCCTAATTGTTTAAGCAACTTTTTAAATTATATATGGCTTATAAACATTATTTTGAACATTATGCACTTTTTTTTCAAAGATAGTCGTGTTATTTTATTACGCTTTGAAGAAACGTGCATAATATTTTGCGCAATGCGCCCTCTTGTGTCCTCAGGAGAGAAGCCTAAAGCTTTTTTCCCCCTAACTGAAATGATGCATTTTAAATTCGAATATAATTCGAATTTTGATCATATTTAAGTAGAAAATTCGAATTTAGTTTTTTAGTCATTTTGACAGCCCTACCCCCCCATACTCACTCGATATCTCTGTTATCCATGTGTGTACTCAAATGTAATTCCTCCTGTCCACTAGGGTGCGCTCTATAATCATCCAACAGGAGAAAGCTCAGGACAGAGAGAAACTGCTGCTCAAATTCATCAAAATCATGAAGGTAACTAGAGTAACACACACATATGTGAACATTACACTGTGGGCTGATTCTGAATGCATCACTCTCTATTTTCTGAGTGATTTCATGTTTTTGTCTCGCTCATAGCACTTGCGGAAACTGAATAACTTCAACTCTTATTTGGCGATTCTCTCGGCGCTGGACTCTGCACCAATCAGACGACTGGAATGGCAGAAGCAGACGTCTGAGGTCAGTCACACCAGTCTGACTTCCTTCTCACTGCCAAAACTAACATCATTCAATAGTATCTGATCATATGAAATAGGTAAAGATTGTATATCTAATCTCTTTTTTTTTTTAACCTCTGTCTCTATTTTTGTAGGGTTTGGAAGAGTACTGCACTTTGATTGACAGTTCGTCATCCTTCAGAGCGTACAGAGCGGCGCTAGCAGAAGTGGAGCCTCCATGTATACCATACCTGTGAGTTTGTGTGTCGAACAAACTAAACTGTAGTCAAATAAAATCAGGAGTTGGAAAACAAGCTGAAATGAAAGCATTTCATGCTCATGAAAGACGGCTCTTTCAGCCTCAGACTGCTTACCAAAGGATTGTCTGGCAAAGTCCGCCAGATTTGCAATGTTTGAGAGTCAGAGAAGCAAAAAATCCTATCTTTTACTAAATTTGTGAGGTTCATGACTGAATTTTGACCTGCATAAAACTAAGTGCACCCGTGTTATTTTATGTATTATTATTATAGTAGTTATTATTTATTTAGTCATTCAGCAGACGCTTTTATCCAAAGCGACTTACAAATGAGGACAATAAAAGCAGTCAAAACTAACAAAAGAGCAACAATATATAAGTGCAAATGACAAGTCTCGGTTAGCCTAACACAGTACATGTAGCAAGGTGTATATATATATATATATATATATATTATACACACACACATATACACACACACACAAAGAAAAACAAGTAGATAGAATAGAAAAAATAGAAAGCTAGTGTTTGTTTGTTTTTTGTAGTTTTTTTTTTATAAAAAAGAAGATAAATATAGATAAAGTAGAATTAAAATAGAATAGAAAGTGTTAGAGTTAGAGGGTCAAATAAAAGTGGAACAGTGATATTTATTAATATTTTAAATGTCCCTTTAATTTTTATATTTTAATTGTAGTCGTTTTGTTTTGTGCGTTTGTCATTTTTATTCGCTTTTTAAAATATTTTTATTTAGCTTTAATTTATTTTTATTTGAGTCATTTTTAGTAATTGTATTACTTCAACAAATGTATTTCAGTTAGTTGCCAAGGCAACATTTCTAATTTAAGTTTAAGTTTTGCGTTTTATTTTTCAACTTTATTTTATTTAATCTTCATTTTATTTACCGAAAATTATTTTTAATAGTTTTTGTTAGCAATAACAAACACTGACATGCACATCTGCTGAATTTCAACAAAAATGCCTTTATTAAATAAAACTAAACGGTAACTCATTTCACTGCTGAAAATAAAAAAATAACTAAAATATTTCATGCTAATTAAATATGTATTATTAAAAATAAACATTCAAAACTGTGTTAATCTGGTGTATATTTGAGATATATATATATATATATATATATATATATATATATAGTACACCCACACACACGACTTTTATTGATAATTGTTTAATGTTCCATGTTTTAGTTTTGCTAATAATGTTTTTTTTTCCCTAACAGGGGTTTGATCCTACAGGACCTGACGTTCGTTCACCTCGGAAACCCGGATTTTATTGACGGTAAAGTGAATTTCTCCAAGCGCTGGCAACAGTTCAACATTCTGGACAGCATGAGACGCTTCCAGCAAGTGTGAGTAATGGCTGGCCTGAAACCCAGCGTTTGACGAGCATGAGATTAGATTACACAAGCTGCAGTCCAAAAGTCTGGTGTAGACTTCACTTGAACTGATTTGTAGAATGAAGCAACGAGGCTTGAAAAGCTGTGTTCAAATCAAACATCACTCATCTGTTTCCACCACGTAAGAAGAAAAAGTTTCATTAAGCATAATTATGGCATAAAGAGTCATTTTGAGATGAAAAGTTGAAATTATGACAAAAAACACAATTATGTGTTATGTATATATATACTGTATATATATATATATATATTTATGACAAAGTCAACATAAAAAGTCTAAATTATGACAAACATTGTCAAAAAGTCAAAGATACTGAGAGACTGTGGGTTATTATGAGATAAAATGTTGAAATTGACAAAAGTTATGACAGTCGTTACAAAATTATGACAGTCATATTTATTATGACAAGTCACAATAGGTGACATAAAAAGTCAAAATTACGACAAAAAAAATAATTATGTCGTATAAAGTTGAAATTATGAGATACTGAGTCATTATGAGATAAAAAGTAAATTGTCAAAAACAATTATGAGAGACATATGGACCACAAAACCATCATAAGGGTCAATTTGTTTGTTAGGATAGGACAATATTTGGCTGAGATACAACTATTTGAAAATCTGGAATCTGAGGGTGCAAAAAAATCTAAATATTGAGAAAATTGCTTAGCAATGCATATTACTAATGATAATACACTTTTGATATATTTATGGTAGGAAATTAACAAAATATCTTCATGGAACATGATCTTTACTTAATATCCTAATGATTTTTGGCATAAAAGAAAAATCGATAATTTTGACCCATACAATGTTTTTTTTGGCTATTGCTACAAATATACCTGTGCTACTTATGACTGGTTTTGTGCTCCAGGGTCACATATATATTTATTATGACAAAATCAACTTAAAAAGTCTAAATTATGACAAATAAAATTGATGTAATTAGTCAAAATTAGATATACTGTGGGTCATTATGATGTTGAAGTTATGACAAAAAACAAACTTATGACTTTCATAAATATGACAAGTCAAAATTGACATACTAAGTCATTATGAAATAAACCGTCATAATTATGACAAAAGAACAGTAATGACAAAGTCATATTTATTATGACAGTCGTAATTATGACAAGTCAACATTGACACAATTATGACCGTCATGATTGACAAAAAGTCATAATTATGACAAACAATTATGAGATACTAAGTCATTATGAGATAGAAATTCATACTTCTGGTTTATCAATTTTTCAATGCAGAATTTTTTTAGAGCTGATTAATTAAGTAAGATTGTAAGATTATTTCATGTGTAAGTCATTAATGCATGTTAATATGAATTATTATATGATGTTTTTAATTTATTAATAATGTTTAATTTAATATACATTTCATATATCAGTTGCTGATTTCACTAGTAACTGATTTAAAAATTGGTTCAATTATAAATTTTTCTCTTTTGTCATTTTAGACACTACGAACTGAAACGGAACGAAGACATCGTCTCGTTTTTCAACGACTTTAGCGATCACCTGGCGGAGGAGGCGTTATGGGAGCTCTCGCTCAAGATCAAACCACGAAACATCTCGCGCCGCAGGACAGAGCGAGAGGAGAAGACCTAGATCCTGAAATCTAGAACAGGGGTTTGATCCTACAGGACCTGACGTTCGTTCACCTCGGAAACCCGGATTTTATTGACGGTAAAGTGAATTTCTCCAAGCGCTGGCAACAGTTCAACATTCTGGACAGCATGAGACGCTTCCAGCAAGTGTGAGTAATGGCTGGCCTGAAACCCAGCGTTTGACGAGCATGAGATTAGATTACACAAGCTGCAGTCCAAAAGTCTGGTGTAGACTTCACTTGAACTGATTTGTAGAATGAAGCAACGAGGCTTGAAAAGCTGTGTTCAAATCAAACATCACTCATCTGTTTCCACCACGTAAGAAGAAAAAGTTTCATTAAGCATAATTATGGCATAAAGAGTCATTTTGAGATGAAAAGTTGAAATTATGACAAAAAACACAATTATGTGTTATGTATATATATACTGTATATATATATATATATATATTTATGACAAAGTCAACATAAAAAGTCTAAATTATGACAAACATTGTCAAAAAGTCAAAGATACTGAGAGACTGTGGGTTATTATGAGATAAAATGTTGAAATTGACAAAAGTTATGACAGTCGTTACAAAATTATGACAGTCATATTTATTATGACAAGTCACAATAAGTGACATAAAAAGTCAAAATTACGACAAAAAAAATAATTATGTCGTATAAAGTTGAAATTATGAGATACTGAGTCATTATGAGATAAAAAGTAAATTGTCAAAAACAATTATGAGAGACATATGGACCACAAAACCATCATAAGGGTCAATTTGTTTGTTAGGATAGGACAATATTTGGCTGAGATACAACTATTTGAAAATCTGGAATCTGAGGGTGCAAAAAAATCTAAATATTGAGAAAATTGCTTAGCAATGCATATTACTAATGATAATACACTTTTGATATATTTATGGTAGGAAATTAACAAAATATCTTCATGGAACATGATCTTTACTTAATATCCTAATGATTTTTGGCATAAAAGAAAAATCGATAATTTTGACCCATACAATGTTTTTTTTGGCTATTGCTACAAATATACCTGTGCTACTTATGACTGGTTTTGTGCTCCAGGGTCACATATATATTTATTATGACAAAATCAACTTAAAAAGTCTAAATTATGACAAATAAAATTGATGTAATTAGTCAAAATTAGATATACTGTGGGTCATTATGATGTTGAAGTTATGACAAAAAACAAACTTATGACTTTCATAAATATGACAAGTCAAAATTGACATACTAAGTCATTATGAAATAAACCGTCATAATTATGACAAAAGAACAGTAATGACAAAGTCATATTTATTATGACAGTCGTAATTATGACAAGTCAACATTGACACAATTATGACCGTCATGATTGACAAAAAGTCATAATTATGACAAACAATTATGAGATACTAAGTCATTATGAGATAGAAATTCATACTTCTGGTTTATCAATTTTTCAATGCAGAATTTTTTTAGAGCTGATTAATTAAGTAAGATTGTAAGATTATTTCATGTGTAAGTCATTAATGCATGTTAATATGAATTATTATATGATGTTTTTAATTTATTAATAATGTTTAATTTAATATACATTTCATATATCAGTTGCTGATTTCACTAGCAACTGATTTAAAAATTGGTTCAGTTATACATTTTTCTCTTTTGTCATTTTAGACACTACGAACTGAAACGGAACGAAGACATCGTCTCGTTCTTCAACGACTTTAGCGATCACCTGGCGGAGGAGGCGTTATGGGAGCTCTCGCTCAAGATCAAACCACGAAACATCTCGCGCCGCAGGACAGAGCGAGAGGAGAAGACCTAGATCCTGAAATCTAGAACCTCAGAGACAATTTACGGTGAGACCTGAACCTCCTGCAGAACCTTGGGAACCCACCCTAGAGTTCTTAATCCGGTTCTGGAGCTGAACCGAGACACGCAAGCTCCTATTTGCACCAATAAACTGAGACATTGGCAGTATTTTTTCCCTGACTGTTGACTTTAAAAATTCACGAGGGGAATCCTAATTCAGTATAGATACGCACTCGCGCTCGCACACAGGGCTGGAGAGGACCCCAATGCTGTGATATAAAGCTAAATCATTATAAATTGCTATGTTTGCGTGTGTCTATGTGTGGCTGTACAGAAAGACACACTCTAAGAGGGCTTGGTTCATTTGATATTAATACACTGTGCCTGATGGAGTGAGTTCGTGTTAGTTTGTCCCGCTCGGACGTACCATCTGACCTTCCAAAGGTCTGATTCGCCCGTTTGGAGCTGTGCAACTGGGTCGATTGGGAAACATGTGTGCAATCCTATAAGCGTTTTATAAGGAATATTCGCTGATCTGTTGAAATGATTATGTTTTGACAGATGCAGTGAGTAATTGACTATATAGAATATATTCATTTGAAAATTAAAGAATGAACTGGACGTTTGGACTCATTTTTCATGTCGTCTTGCAATATTGTTTTGTGTGTGACCATGTGCAACCCTCATCACAACTGTTTACCCCCTCACAACGCTGACAGCCCCTCGAATCCCATGAAAACCCTCAAGGACGTGTGCTTTTTTTGACTTAAAAAAAAAAAGAAGAAAAATTTGCATTGTGACATTATTTTCACAACTATTCCTTTTCATGCACATTTCTTTCTCGTCCCAATTCTCAGTAGCTTGCAAAATGCAAAAAAATACATTAATTAAAAAAATTCAAAAAATACGTTAATATAAAAATAGATTCATTTAAATTCAATTAAATAGCAAAGTGCATTCATACGGTACAAACATAATATTGAATTAAATGTATGCTAATTTGAAGGGGAAAATGGGTCACGTTCATAAAACAAAAACAACAAATTTTTCATAAGTTTACGTGAGAATGGCTTATGAAAGATTTAAACAGAAAATCATTAAATTGTTCAATACATAAGAAAAGCTTTAAGAAAATTGTTCATGCTTTATGAATAAGGCTCAAAATTTAGATATATGCTCAGTTGTCATGAATATAGTGTCTTAATGGCTTTTTTTCCTTTATCCAAAATTAATTTATAATTTTATAATTGATTATTGCAAAAAACTACTTTAACATTTACCTGTGCGGACTATGATGTCACACAGAGGGGCGGGGCTCAGTGTTGCCTGGTGACGAGCGGTTTGACAGTGTGCCTGTGGAGGCTTTTGTTTCTTTTGGGATGTGTATGATATGTTCTGTGTATATGTACATGTACAGATGTGATGTATAATCTCTCATCATGTAGAGGGCAGTTACGAGGAAATATATTTTCAAACCAATTGAGTCGTACACTAAAATAACATTGAGGCAAAAAACTCGAGGACTGAATATGCTGTGATCTCTGGGCACCAGAGAGCGCTCTGTGTGTGTGTGTGTGTGTATATATGTGTGAATGTGGCTTTTCTACAGAACGTTGTTATTCATAAATGGGAGAAGGGAAGCTGAAGCCGCTTTCTTCAGTGTGTGTGTGTGTGTGTGTGTGAGTGTGTGTGAGTGAGTGCGGCGTCTGTGATGTTTACTGCCTTCTGGGAATTTATTTCCTGTTACACCTATAACATCCTGCATATTCAACCACCAATAAAACGGCTCTCTTTGTATTGTCTTTGAATTTTTCCAACACTATATTTAGCATGTTTACACCTACAAAAAAGGGCCATACTACTGCCATTACCAAAGAAATTAGTACTTTTATTCAGCAAGGATGCATTAAATTGATCAAAAATGGCAATAAATGCATTTATGTTACAAAAGATTTCGATTTCAAATAAACGCTGTTGTTTTGAACTTACCGTTCATCAAAGAATCCTGTAAAAATGTATCATGATTTCCACAAAAATATTGTGCAGCACAACTGTTTTCAACATTGATAACAATCAGAAATGTTTCTTGAGCAGCAAATCAGCATATTAGAATGATTTCTGAAGATCATGTGACACTGAAGACTGGAGTAATGATGCTGAAAATTCAGCTTTGATCACAGAAATAAATTACATTTTAACATATATATTCAAATAGAAAGATATTTAAAATTGTAATATTTCATAATATAATTATTATTTTTTTTATCAAATAAATGCAGCCTTGGTGACTTTCAAAAACATCCTGACCCCAGACTAGTGAACAGTACTGTATTTTGTAGTAATATGCAAATATCATGGTCATTGCTTTTAGATATGTTACCATGATTTTCTTTGTGTATGTTTTTTTGGATATTCAGAATCATACTATGGTAGAATATTACCTCATAGATACCATGTTTCTTGGGCAAATACAATGGTGTAAATGAACATTAGTCATTCAAGTACCACAGTAGTTACATGTTTTACTATGGTACATCACCTATTATGAAAAGCGATGTACAAATAAACATGAAAATGAAATGACTTTTTTTTTTTTATAAAACAATGTGAAAAAAAATTAGACGTCAAGTCACGTAAGCATGTTTTCTTTATTTCAAAAAGGTTTGTACAAGAAAAATGCAAAACCTGTTTACAAATGAACCATTTTATCATATTTACATTTAGAAACAAATTACAGAGTGAGGTGAACAACATATATTATACAGAACATAAAAACATCCTGACCCCAGACTAGTGAACAGTACTGTATTTTGTAGTAATATGCAAATATCATGGTCATTGCTTTTAGATATGTTACCATGATTTTCTTTGTGTATGTTTTTTTGGATATTCAGAATCATACTATGGTAGAATATTACCTCATAGATAACACCGTGTTTCTTGGACAAATACAATGGTGTAAATGAACATTAGTCATTCAAGTACCACAGTAGTTACATGTTTTACTATGGTACATCACCTATTTTGAAAAGCGATGTACAAATAAACATGAAAATGAAATGACTTTTTTTTTTTATAAAACAATGTAAAAAAAAAATTAGACGTCAAGTCACGTAAGCATGTTTTCTTTAATATTTCAAAAAGGTTTGTACAAGAAAAATGCAAAACCTGTTTACAAATGAACCATTTTATCATATTTACATTTAGAAACAAATTACAGAGTGAGGTGAACAACATATACAGAACATTAAAAATAGCCACATCAGTGATAGTGAGATTAATATTTTAAATACTAAACTATTGCTATAATTCACTAGAAGTATTTTACTTCATCTATTTCATGTCTTATCCTGACCAAACAAGAGTTTATGATCTAGACAAGGCAGCACTGAAACTTTATTTCAGGTGTTTAAAATGCCATTATACTTGACAATAGTAACAAAACAAGTTGACTTTTTTATTCTATAGGTGTAAGTAACAGTTTTAGAGTGGTGAAATTATAACCTTATGAGACGGATCAGGCAGTGAAATACAGACTGGACTGTTTGTGTTGAGTTTACCCTGTTATAGGTACCGACTGTTATTAGAAACATATGAGTAGAGATTAATCTGATTAGCATCTGACAAGTAATGTAGGACTATTTTATATATACAGCACAGTTCCTCTTTGAGAAAGATGTGACTACAGGTTAAAGGTCACGCTAAGGGTCAGATGACTCCGATAAGAAGCAGAAGGCATTCTTAAAGGAATAGTTCACCAAAAAATTAAAAAATATTCCTTTAAATTCTGAGCCTGACAGAGTTTGCGTGTTGGAAGCATGCAGAAAAATTCAAGCGTTTAGGTTTTTTGATTGTATGACTCTCTTTAGTGTGTGTGTGTGTGTGTGTGTGTGTTAATGTGGTCGTGTGCTGGGCTCCAGTAGGGGGCGTTTCACTGGGACAATCCCGCCTCCGTTAGATTTCTTGCTGTGTTCAGCCACGCCCCTCTTTAGACTCCGCCCGTGGGCGTGTCCATTGACAGAACCCCTCTGCCATTTGCAGATGTCACCGTTGAGGATGTCCTGAATATGCTGCACAATCAGGTTTATTGCCACTAAAGAAGATTTAAGAGACAAAAGAAAAGGAACAGTTTTGAAAAGCAAGGCTTATTTTTGAATATGTATTGCCTTTTGATATTTACCCATGTTGTCAACTCCACGCGGTATTATGACATCTGCATATTTCTTGGTCTGAGAGGTTGGGGAGAGATTTCAGATGTCGTGAATGCATCGTATTACTATAGCACAACTCTCAAATGTCATTTCGGCTTTTGCTGTGTGTTTTCTCACCGGAAGGCAGAACTCTTCAAAAGCTGGTTTAACAAACGTGGTGTACTGCGTGAGAATCTGTTCCAGATCTCGACCTCTTCTCATGTCGCGCAGAACTAAACGCATGATGAACACACTGTTAGGGTAATTATTCTAATATTTTATGTTTCCATAAATACAAATGAAACATTTCATTTCGGCTGAAAACTAAAACCGATGAAAAGTTCGGGGACTGTAATATTAGTAGGATTATATTTTTCCATGTAGTTTAAGTTCCTCTAATAAGTTTTGCCAATTTAAAATGTATTTTTTTAAATGTATTGAAGCTTTTTTAACTCTTAAGATGTACTATTTTTGTAACTATAATGAGAATAGATATTAGAATTTTAAACTGGATATACAATTGTATATATGAAATTGAAATGTGTATGTGAAATAAAAACAAAACTGGAAAGAGCAAAACCTGAACCTATTTCGCTGTCATTTAAAATATTTAAAAGTTATATATATATATATATTTTTTTTTTTTGCAATCATTTGAAAATGCAAAAAAACAAAACTTGCTATAAACACTAGATGAAAATGTGAAATGTGTATTTTATATTATATAACATAAAAAGACACAAGAGTTTGCTTTAACTATAATTTGTGCATTACCTCTGCGAGACAGGCGTACATCTGAGTCTGTGTCCACAAACAGTTTCATGTGGAACATGTCTCTGACTTCCTGTGTGTAGAACACCAGAATCCCCTCAAACAGCACCACATCAGCGGGATACACACATATCTTCTCTGGCAGCCTACACACACACACACACACACACACGATTGACAGTCTGTTCTCAGACAACCACACGCTATCAAAGTACATGTGAAGAGAGAGCGTGTCAGTGCTTTACGTGTCATTATGAGGGAAAAGCGTGTCTTATTGCCTGGAATGAGTGACGAAGTCATATGTAGGAACCTCCACCACCTTTCCTTCTACGATGTCTTTCAGCGTCTGACACATTAACTCCGTATCAAACGCATCTGAGAGAGAGAAAACATACTAGTGCATTGAAAAATGGCATTTAATGACCCCCCCGTGTCGTTCAAGATCTGTTTTCCTGACCTTCTCGCAGTGGTTTTGTGTTTTATGGGCATAAAGATCAAACCACATGAGCGTGAGTAAATGATGACAGCATTTTTATTCATGGGCGAATCATTTCCAATTGTTTTTTACCTGGATGGTCAAAGTTGTACTGGCCTTTCAAAGCTTTGGCCTTCTGTTCTAGAGTGAGAACCCGGTAGAAACTGTCCTGGCTGACGATAGTGACCTTCCTCTGGTGATGATCCACCTTATTCTGACCCAACAGCTCCATGATTTTTGCGCACACTGTGGACTGACAGGAGAAAAACAGCAGTTAATGACCTGGACTGACAATCTGGCTTGCAATTGCATCAGCCTGAATATCATTACAGATACTGTTACAAGTGACACTAGATTTTAAGGGCCTGTTGCTATTGCTATATGAATTATTAACACGTTCTTTCTCTATAATTACATTTTGCATGCTGTTTTCTTGTGCATTTGATAGATTTTGATTTAACCTGCATGCATTTCACTTAAATGCAAACATGCACTATATATTTAAGGCACAAAAGAGGTGCATGTTGACTGTGACTTATCGAAGAGACAACATTTGTAGGTTTGCATGCATATAACAGCAGTATGCATCAGTTTCCATCATGCATGTAGTGTGTTGTACCTTTCCGCTGGCCGTTCCTCCGCTCACCCCGATCAGGAAAGGACTGTGCCGCGGCCGCTCGGGTTCACGCAGCAGTCCGGCTGAGTTCATGCTGGTACAGCAACAAAACCAGCGCTTTCTTCAAGTATGGAGTGCGGCTGAATGCATAAACTCTTTCTTTAGATGATCGGGCATGTGTCTGGGCGGCGTGTGCTCGATTTCCGCCTGGTTTCACTATCAGCCACGGCCGATTAATACTCCAGCGTTACTGTACGTAGTTAGTAAATGTTCATGGGGCATTTCTGTTCCTCCAGGGGCGCTCAGTGACTCGGAAAGCCGAGTCCCCATTGAGGCTCATTCAAATCTCTTGATGTTTTTTGCCTTACTGGAGACATTTGTAGATTAGAAAGTATCATCTTTTAAATCTACAAACGCCTGAGATTGATTCGTGACATGTAAGTGCAAACCGCTTCAGTAGAATGCTGTTTTAAAGCAGCGTGTCTAGCAACTGCAAACGATTGTGAGTGGTCCGTTTAGCGCAGCGCTGAGAAAAGTAACTGTTGTCATGTGACCCACTCTGTCTATGCGACGCTTCTTTAGGGTTCTAGACAATAATTTTACAATTGAGTAATGATATTGAGAAACTTTAAAATATGCTGAACTGAGAATAGATTGTGTAGAACTGAAGGAGGAATTTTTTTTTTTTATCCTAACCGTTAAGCCCCGCCCATCGTCAGATCCCTGATTCTGCTGATTGCCATTCTACCGGATTTTTCTATTTATACGCTGTCGCTTTTGAACGTGACTGCGTCACAGCACGCTACGCAAACTCCACGAAACTTGTAAAGTCACCGCTTCGAAGAAAGTTTCTCTTATTTTGGAATTGGGTTCATTGCAGTGTTTTGGTTTCACTTTTCTAATTTCGTAAAAAAGAAATTATTCCCAAACGTCTATTTTATTTTTTTATAGAGAGCCTTTCATTTTAAGTTTATACTTATTTTATTACTATTCATTGCCAAATTATATTATTATTATTATTTAATGAAAAAAAAAAAAAATTTCAGAAAGAGAGAGACGAATGTCCCTCTTCAAATGTTTATGTTTGCTTGTTTTTTATTCGGTTTTTTAAACAATGAACAAACATTATTTCCCTTTAATTGAAAGTTAAATTTTTAATATTTATTTTTTATTTATTTAGTCATTTATCAGGCGCTTTTATCCAAAGCGGCTTACAAATGAGGACAACAGATATAACAAAAATAAAACAAATACATTAATATATACGTATGTAACTCGTGAACAGCGTAAAAGTGTTGCAAAAACTATTGATTTGGTTGCATTCATGCAGTTGAAAATATCAAAGGGCATTCAAGTGAAAATGTTGCAGTGACCACAAGGGGGAGCCAAACACTTAAAAACAACTACTCCAAAGTGATCAGATTATTAAAAATATCACAATAATAAATGTCCAGTGATGCAGTTGACAATGTCAGTCATGTTTTGTCTGAATCATCGCTCAGATGTGGTGGTTTCTGTTCATCTGGATTATTTCTCGATGCCTCTTTTATTGATTCCTCTGCAACAATTTCCAGGGCCTCGTTTTCTTGAACTCTTCGCACTGATTCTCCTTCAGCAGCCAGGATCTCCTCTATGTTTCTATGGCAACACAGAACATACAGCAGTCAACTTCTCAGTGAAGTTTTGGTCATAATGCTTTAAAGCGGGTATTTTCAAACGGGGGGCCTGCAGGGGGCTGCAATGGAGTGCTTGGGGGTCCGTGGAAAAGTTATAAACAAACATTTATACAAATAAATAATTGGGAAAAAATCTATTAAATAAATTAAAACATAAAAAATTGAATTATTAAAATTAATATACATTTAAACATTAGATAAAATATACATAAACATTTGATAAAACGAAAAATAATTTTTATATGTATAATTCATTTTTTGGAAAAATACACTTTAATCATTGTATACGGGGTTTTTAAAACTGGGATCTGTGGAAAAGTTTAGAGAAAAACAATATACAAATAAAATAATAATAAAAAATATTAAATAAAAATTGATAAAAATTAATAATTGTACAAATTAAAATGATTAAAGCATATTAAAATAATAAGAAGATTAGATTTAAATAAATAAACCGTACATCTAGCAGGGGGGGGGGGGGAATATTATTCTATTAATAAACTGTAATAGAAATATTTTCCAAAATAAAATTTCACATTTATAATTAGTCATTTTTCACAGTATAAACTGGGCCTTTCTTAATGTAAATAAATGTATTATAATAGAATGCTTTTTCAGTTGTAGGATGGGGGTCCCTCACATCTAAAAATGTTTTTTTAATTGTAATAATGTTCTTGCAGGAGAACATCCACACCTTTTCCCCTCCACTGCAGGTGATCTGCGACCACGTGGTGGTGCTTACATCCGGGACAAGTTACTATGACAACACCCCTGTGATAGGCCAGCTTGGATATAGTCTTCATAGAGCACACCTAGAGACCAAATATACTATTAAATGACTGAACGTGACCCAAGCAGTCAAAAGTTCCTCTAAAGAAGAAGGTAAACACTGACAGAAGAGCATCATCTTACTTTGCAGGTGATAGTGTGTTGACTGCAGCTGTCCTGCACACAGAAGAGGAGAAGCTCCTGCAGAAACTCAGTCCGCCTCTGTGTGACACAGCAGACCCCAGTAACGAGTCAGTGAGGTATAAAGAGCTGTTCGCAGCTCGTTTCTGTGCCTCCTCGTGCTCGCTTCTAGCTGTACGTGATGAAAGACTTCCCGCACCGCGTGATCTGGGTATTCTCGGTCTGAATAAAAAGAAACACAATCGAGAGGACATTACCGAAATGTTACCGAGCAAACTGTTCTTTATAAACACACGCAATATCGTTACTGACGCTTAAATATCACACTTGTCGCATCCGAGTTGAATCACTCGTCGCTTGCCGATGACGACAGAGACGCATCGAAGCCCCGCCCATCTTGTTTCTTCGTCGTCTGTTTACATTTATATTTACATTTAGTCATTTTAGTTTGCTACCCCTTGTAAGAACTTACTATTCTATAAATGCTTTTACTGTTATTTTTTATTTTAATTTATTTATATATTTTATTTTGTATCCTTTTCTGTTCTTCATTGCTCTTCATGATTGTACATTTAATGTAAAACTTCACTGTTACATATTGTAATTGCAACTATGTCTGCCTTTGAGAATTGTTAATTGTTAATATTGTTTATTCAATGCCTATTTTGAATGTACATTTATTTACTTAATATAAAAAAAATAAAAAAAAATTAGTCATTTAGCAGATGCTTTTATCCAAAGCGACTTACAAATGAGGACAATAAAAGCAGTCACAACTAACAAAAGAGCAATAATATATAAGTGCAAATGACAAGTCTCGGTTAGCCTATATGGAGGACCAAACCTGCAGAAATTAAAAATAAATAAATACACGTGTTCTTGTTTAAATACGTATATAAATAATTAAACGTGTGATGAAATATAAGCAAATAAATCAAATAAATTGGTGGCCAAATGGAAAATGTTTAAGGAAATGCTAAACTCATCCTAGCTGTTTTCTTTTAATCACTCATTTGTTTTTCCTCTGCACAACATGCTAATGAGAGGGTGTCAACCATAGACATATAAATACTGAATTTACAGTTTATTTTAATAAATATCCAAATTCTAAAAGGTTTGCATTATAACTGAGAACTACAAGATAGATAGAAGATATTTGAAGATTGCTGGTAATCAAACAGTTGGTGGTTGCTTCTATAGCAGGAAAAAATACTATGTGAATCAATGGCAACCACCAACTGTTTGATTACCAGCAATCTTCAAATATCTTCTTTTGTGTTCAACTCATACAGGTTTGGAACGACATGAGGGTGAGTAAGTGATGACAGAATTTTCATTTTTGATCATCCCTTTAATCATCTAATTCTCACATTTGTATACATGTAATATAATGACATGACAATGTGATAGTTGTTAAAATGATTAGGTTGTTGCGGGTGAGACTGTAACATGTCCTCTGTTTTTTTACTTAATTCATTAATTCATTTCATTTTTATTTGTTCATTTATTTCATGTTGATATAGATATATGGTGCATATATATATGACTTATATGTATGCATTCACCATATTAGTGAATACAGGACATTTATGATGACATAGTAGCTTTGTTATTCAACAGTTGTGGCTCTTCTTGACTTCCCCCACATCTTGCCACAGTTTCTTCAGTTACAATAAACGACCTTCATCGCAGAAGGATAGTCTGCAGCGTCGGTCACGCCCGCTCGCGCTGTATCAGCGCTGCTCCGGCCAACGCGCCGCAGTACAAATCCTACTATGGCGAAGATCGGGCTCATGAATATTAAGTGACCCACGCTGACGTTGCTTAGTAACGTTGTCGCAGAGTCCGGCACGTAACCTAATTAAATAATCATTATTACAGCCTTCAAATGGAATGCAGATGTGCATGCTGGGTATTTATTTTGTTTAATGTTGGAAAAGTCACTACAGAAAGGGAAAATACTTAATAACATTTTAAACAGATCATTAAAGAAGAGGACCATACAATTCAATTGTTCTTCGATTATAGATTATAAAATAAAATAATATAATATATCAAATTCAATTAAAAATGTTTTGTTTTACATATTGTATGTTATAAAATATAGTTGCGTTTTATAAAATAAATATTCTGGTAATAATAAAGGAAATATCACACACTAACAAAAATATATTTGAAGATATATCAAAATAAATAAACTGTAACTTCGCGGTTTTTTTAGTATTGCCATGCAAATGAAGCACCGTTAATAGATACAGCCAGAGCTAGGGTCCATCAAGTTTCTTTCAGCCAATCAGGTGCGTCTACTGCTCCAACGTAACGTTACGTCATTAATGTTAATAAGCCGAGCCTTCGCCGTAGTAGAATTCGAGCTCACGCGTCCCGCGCGGCCCGGCTGACGCGAGTTCCTGGGCGTGGTTTATCCGCGTTCCTCAACTCTTTCCTCGGGCTGCGGGAGTGTGAGGCTGCCGCTTGTGGATCGTGGACCGGAGGAAAGACATGTATCAGTTATGCGCCACAGGAGCTAGAGATCCACTCAGTAACGAGGCCGGTGAGTTGAGCTGGATGTGTGTGTGTTTCTCAGGGCTTTAAACGCGTTTAGGGTGTGTTCGACAGCACAAGATGCTTTTAAGAGACCAAAGAGACAAGCTTTAATTTTCCACCCACGGAAACCCATTAGACTGCAGGTCTAGCACTGTGTGTGTGTGTGTGTGTGTGTGTGTGTGTGTGTGTGTGTGTGTGTGTGTGTGTGTAGGCAGGCTAAACTTTGTGTGTCTTAAGTTAGTCTGAGTTATTATGTTATGTGCTTATGTTTATGTGTTGTGTTTCCTATGTTTGTGTATGTTTGTTTAGCTCTGGATCTGATCTGATCTGATTAATGTAACATCTCATTTATTTATATTATAGGGCCCCTTAGACCAAGGGTCCGGAGACCCACAAGGGAGCACTAGGGGGTAACAATTAAGAGTAAAAATAAAGTAAATAATTAAAAACTATATAAATGCATTTCATTAAAACACATGGAAAATGACTAACAAATAATTACTAATGTAAAAAAAAACAAAAAAAACAGAACTATGGTGAGTAGAAAAGTGCTGTAATGTAATGGAAACTAAATATTTTCCTAATATCGCACATATTTACAATAATAATTTTCACAGTATTAATTGGGTGTTTATACATAGGAATATATAGCTGCATTTTAAAATTTTAGGATGTGAGGTCCCTTGCATGAGGATTATGATGATTATATTTGAGGGTCCGTAGCACCTAAAATATTTTAAAAACCCTGCATTAGACCGTTAGCTTGACATTGATGATACATCCAGATCCAGTACAGAAATAAAAATGCAAGTATTTTTCTCTACTTAATGTAGAAATTAATTGATTTCGAGACACTCCCTGCTGGGCGTGTTGTGGCTTAGTGGTTAAAAATCTGGGCTAGTAACCTGTTGGTTGTAGGTTTAAACCTCAGAAGTGTGAAGAGTGTACCGTCATTATGCAACTGAACACTTTACATAAATTTGGATCTGTTTTTTACACTAAGCTGTCGTACGACTTAAAAAAAATAGCACAGACTGCTTTTATGATGCATTTTCCTTCGTTTTCTTTCATTCAAATTTAGTGTGTTTTGTCCTAGAACAAGGTATAGGCCATGGCAGATGATCTGCTTTGGATGAGGGTTAAAGTTGGACCCTGAGGCGAGAGAGATGTGTGTTTTGAGCAAGTGTGGGCCTGATGTTTTTTCTCCACGTGTGTGAAGTTGTCTTTGTTTTGCTGGAGCATGCGTTCCAGGAAGCATGCTTGATCTGAGCAGGAGTGTGGTGTGTAAAACCCAAAGCCTGTGTGTCTGCGGGACGCCACACACAACACCTCTGACCCCATTAACTCACTAAATGCATCAGGACAACCGAACGAATGCACAAACTATATACACGGTCATGTCTTTCTTGCATGGAAGAAATCAGTAAAAGTAGTTCTTGTGCACTGTATTCCTATTCCAAGACATCTGAAGTCATGCGATAGCTTTTTATGAGAAACGGATCATAGTTTAAACTAGAGATGTCTGATTCATGAATGAATCATTCTTTTTAGTGAATCGGTTTATACCGGTTCTCAAAATGATTCATTCACAAATTAGATAGAGCCACTGAGATCTCAAAAACTGGATCAGCCTATATACAGTTTATATAAAATATAAATATATGTAAAACTAATTATAATACATTTTAAATGTAAAATATAGAATTTATATGAAATATAAATAATATATACATTTTTATTATATGAAACTCGATGTATAATGATATATAATCAGAAAATATATTCTAAATTATATAGTAAATATAATACTACTATATGCTATATGTAATATAAAATAAAAATATATTAATTATATAACAAAATAAAATAAAAATATATTAATTATATAACAAAATAAAATAAAAATATATAGATTTCATGTTTTATATATATAATTTTATATAAAATTCAAGTAAGTGTCATAGATTAACAAAAATATCTAAGATATTTAAAAATGTGAAAATCAGACATTTAGAAATAATTGGAAAGAAACCTGTGTAGTGTAATAAACTGCACTTGCAGAGCTTTTTGTTAGAAGCAGTATAGTTTAAGTCATTGTTTACAGAAAATCTTGATATCTGCCCTAGCTCTCCTTGGCATGTTCGTGGGAAAATTGGAGATGTCTGATTCGAGAATGAATCATTCTTTCATTCGGATCAGTGAATTGGGGTGTTCCATTTCTCTGTGGAAATGTCTCAGTGTAATGTTTTTCCCATTACTGTAAATGCATCTTTTGCTTAGTAAGTGCAAATTATTCTCTGTGGTAACTGGTAACATGTTACAGACAGGGCTTTTTATCCCACTTTCCTCTGCTGAAAGTGTGGTTTAATACTCAAATGTGCATGTTTATTTGCTTTGAGTGATTTAACTCCATCTCTATACTTTGAGTCAGTCTTGCTGGCATTTAGGTAGTTTGATTTAGCAGTGAAAAATAGCCAGCATTTATTTCAGTGTGATTATAAAACCGTTTCCATAGAGGAGACATAGGATTTCAACAAACACATCATCATGTCAGGCTTCTGTAAATGATCATTTTGGCCGATCTATTGCTCTCATGGGCCTGCGAAGACAATGTGAGACGTTAAAAGCTAATTTCTCTCTCTGTGTCTCCGTTTTGTTGAGCTCTTTTGTTGACAGGAGGACAGAGTGTGATGTTTTTGTGTGTTTGGGTTGCGTCCATCTTTAAAGGGTTAGTTCACCCCAAAATGAAAATTAGGCTGTGTTTTACTCACCCCAGAGGCATCCTAGGTGTATATGACTTTCTTCTTTCAGACGAATCCAGTCGGAGTTAGGGTTGGGCCGATAGAAGATGCCATTGTCCATCGCCGATGGCTGACAGACATCACGATGTTAAGCTGACATCGTGATCCCCTCCCCCGCAATCCGCCGCATCCCAGTTCCGTGTTCGGAAAGGAAATTAAGTGTACTACGGAAACCCTAAAGGGAATAAATAGCCTACGAGATGGGAGGATAAAAAATACTTCAATACTTTTTCTCGCAATTATATCGTTGGGTAAGTATAGGCGACTGTATATAAATTGCGGGCATCAGGGAGCCGTTATTGAAATCTTTTTCGATTGCGCGCTCTCATTTTACTTTCACTTTCACTTTTGAGATTCGCGATCACAAGGAGCGGCAGTACTTGCCACACATTTGGCAAGATTAGATGTTTGTCATTGGTGCTCAGGATCTGCAAATCATTCGCCATCGTCCTATCAGACATTTCTCCTTACTCTGTGTATGTGGTAAGTGAACTTTAATGTACTGTAATGCAACAGGCTACCGCTAGCAAGCGGCTTACCTTTTAGTGGCTCCGTATAACGTGTTATTTGTTTCACGCTTCGGCCACATCCCAAAATATCCAGGGCAATTTTTTATCTAACTCCGACTGGATTCGTCTGAAAGAAGAAAACCATATACACCTAGGATGCCTCGGGGGTGAGTAAAACACAGCCTAATTTTCATTTTTGGGTGAACTAACCCTTTAATACCAGCTGTTAGCAGCAGATGGGGACAGCATGCCCTTGGGGAAACTAAACCGAGAGTGAGTTAAACAACAGACCCTTTGTGTGTGTTTGCGAGATGCACCTGGAGTTCATGGGACTCGGGACAAAATGTTGTACGGAAGAAGAGTTTATTTCATGTGTGTTCACTCACAGGCTTCAAAACCATTCCAGTAAGATAAAACAGGTCAGATACAGTTGTGAGATGTTGTCAATAATATGATGTTCTTTTTTCAGGAAGGCATTAGAACAATGTTGTAGAGCTCTAGGTAGTGATGATCTGTAATATGCTGTGCAGTTTTTCCAAAACAAGAATATAATGTGCGAATAAATAGTTTACAATGTATTTACGGTTTTCGGTTCTGTGTAGTTAATGCTGCTCAATGTGAAAGCATGCACGTGATGGAGATTTACCGCTGATTACAGAACCGGCTTTCTGACAAGATGTGCATTAAATATCGCATGCGATTTATCATGCAGCCCTACTATATAGTGATCAAGATGTTCCATTATAGAAGGTTCTTTACTATATAGTGATCAAGATGTTCCATTATAGAAGTTTTTTGCTATATATTGATCAAGATGTGCCATTATAGAAGGTTTTTTGCTATATAGGCATCTTACTGTTCCATTATAGGAGTGTTTTGCTATTGCAGCCCTACTATATAGTGATCAAGATGTTCCATTATAGAAGTTTTTTTGCTATATTAGTGATCAAGCTGTTCCATTATAGAAGGTTCTTTACTATATAGTGATCAAGATGTTCCATTATAGAAGTTTTTTTGCTATATTAGTGATCAAGCTGTTCCATTATAGAAGGTTCTTTACTATATAGTGATCAAGATGTTCCATTATAGAAGTTTTTTTGCTATATTAGTGATCAAGCTGTTCCATTATAGAAGGTTCTTTACTATATAGTGATCAAGATGTTCCATTATAGAGGGTTCTTTACTATATAGTGATCAAGATGCTTTCACATCCAAAACAAGAATATAATGTGCGAATAAATAGTTTACAATGTATTTACGGTTTTAGATACAGCAAACCAGCATGGGGACCATTGTGATTGTTTTTATTGTACCTCTCCAGTGCTGTCCACAAAAACAAAACCATTTCTATTGTTCCATTATAGAGGTTTTTTGCTATATATTGATCAAGATGTGCCATTATAGAAGGTTTTTCTATATAGGCATCTAACTGTTCCATTATAGGAGTGTTTTGCTATATAGTGATCAAGATGTTCCATTATAGAGGGTTCTTTACTATATATTGATCAAGATGTCCCATTATAGAAGTTTTTTCTTATATAGTGATCAAGATGTTCCATTATAGAGGTTTTTTGCTATATATTGATCAAGATGTCCCATTATAGAAGTTTTTTGCTATATAAGATGTTGTCAATAATATGATGTTCTTTTTTCAGGAAGGCATTAGAACAATGTTGTAGAGCTCTAGGTAGTGATGA